GGCTAACTTAACCAACATGCTACAGGTGAATGACAGAGGTAGCAGAGGTAGGTGACTCCTGAGGTTGTCCTCTGACTTACATTCTCTCTCACACGTGTGCGCGCGCGCACACACACACACACACACACACACACTGAGGTACAGCAGACTATTCATAGGCAGATAAGCAGAGCAACTGTGAACAAAGAGGTACATTTCATCTTATAGAGAAAGATCTGGATATTTGAATATTCATGAATTTTTCAGGAAAGGTTTTGAATATTCATGTTTTTCCAAGAAAGGGAGACTTTCTACTTTCTGGATGCCTTCACCACTTTTCAGATGGCTCAGAATGTGGCTATATTGTGTTCCAGCTTACCCCTACCCCACACAGAGATTTTACTAGTTCCTGCATTAAAATGAGACTCAGAGTCAGTTCTAGGTCAGGTCCGGCCCATCTTGGTAGTTGCGAATCACTGGTGGCTCCTGTCTTTCCACACACTTGTCACAAGATGGGCAGCAGCCACCGGCTGTTTTCTGGCTGTGTCTCTCTCCTCTCCAAAGGGTCACACAGTCCACACACTGGGCTCTGTGGCCTTTGGTCTCCACAGGATTCTGTCTTTACAGTGCCGAAGCAGCCAGAAATAGAATGCAAATGAAAGGCCTGTGTCCCAATAAAACTTTATTGACAAGATATGACTGGCTAGCCCCTCTCCTAGGTGGAGGGATGGTAATAAGCCTGGTTGGTTCAGACCCAGAGTATTAGTGAACAGAGTGAATGACCAGGATAGACTTGGAGAGAAGAGATGGGGACTGATGACACTGGCCTTTGTGGCTTACTCAGAGAATTTGGTCTTTGACATCTGTCATCAGACCTTTCCTGTCCTCTGCCCGTTACAGGTTGAGGTCATGGTATTATAGGTGGTATGCTGGTGCTAAGGGGGGTGTGGCAAGGGCCAGCTGCTCCTGTGACTGTGGGTGACTATTAACGGTGCCTCCTCCTTCCTCCCTCCCTCGTCCTGACCCAGGTGGAGAAGCAGACTTCCATCATCCAGGAATTGAAGAACTACCTGCACCAGGTGTTCAAGTTCTCAGAGAGCAGCCTCCTCCGCATGAAGCAGGAGGCTGAGAAGCAGCAGAAGGCAGACTACAGGGCCGCGCAGGCCAGGCTGGCCAAGACTCAGCAGGAGATCCTCACACTGCGCTCACAGTACAACACCCTGGTCATGGAGAACTGGGAGGCAGAGCAGGCCCTAAGGAAGGTGCCTGGGGGTCCCAGGGATGTGAAGGCGGGATGGGGCTGGCCCAGGAGCCTTGCATAGAAGTGGGAAAGCCCAGATGGACCAGTGTTCTCTCCAGAGGGGGTAGCACCCAGTCCTTGGCCTGGGACAGGGATCCAGCCTCCTTGCACCAAGGACTGGGTGCGAGGAGGCTAGATCCCTGTCCCAGTATTAGGGTACAGCATCTTGGTGACCTTGAGCAAATTCCTTCACTCCCCTCACCCCATGGGTAACCCCCATTTGAAATAGCTCCTGACCTTGACCCGTTCTGAGCCTCTGCTTTCCTGTGGCTATGAAGATGGTAAGGTCAGTTGTGTGGGAGTCAGGAGACTCCGAGGGCTGGGGCAATGTGGGTATACACCAAGCATCCCTCACCTACATCCCAGTTGTGTGTAGCCTGGTGCACACCCAGCTTCCAAGTCTTTCTGACCAAGGGCATCCTCTTAGAGACCAGTTCCCAGGTTGTTTCAGTGTCCTCACCCTTTTGAGTGTTTCATGGAAGTCATAGGTGTCTCCCCACAGGTCTGTGCACTCAGACTGATGGATAGTCCTTGGAAGGTCATAGGCCCCTTGAAACCATTCCATCTTCAGAGAACTCTGGCTCTGTAGGATCAGCAGGTCCATTTTTTGTTCTTTTAAGATGGTGTTGAGCCAGTGAGATGATTCAGTGAGTAAGGGTGCTTGCCACCAAGCCTGACAATCTGTGTTTGATTCCAGGACTCACAAGATGGAAGGAGAGAACCAACTCTCTCAAGTTGTCCTCTGATATATCTCTCTGTCTCTGTCTCTGTCTCTCTGTCTCTTTCTGTCTCTCTGTCTCTCTGTCTGTCTCTCTCTCTCTCTCTCTCTCTCTCTCTCTCTCTCTCTCTCTCAATGTAACTTAAATTAAGAATACAACTTGGTACCCAGCAGGCAGGGACTCCACATCCCCCTCCCTGACAGCCATTCATCTCCCAGTTTGCAAGGATTTACCTATCTTGACCTGTTGTGTGAATAGAGTCTGACACGTGGCCTTTTGCTCTGGCTTCACCTTCGTCATTGTGTTCCCGAAGTTCACCCATAGTGGAGCCCATGCCTCTGCTTTGTACCTTTTTGTGACTGAACCACATTCCTTTTTATTATGGGAGCTGACCTTTTAAAAGTATTTTCTTGGGGCTGGAGAGATGGCTCAGCAGTTAAGAACACTGGTTGTTCTTGCAGAAGACCCAGGTTTGAATCCTAGCACCCACATGGCAGATAACTGTCCTTAACTCCAAATCCAGGGGATCCAACAGCCTCTTCTGTCTTCTGCTGGCATTGTACGTCATGGATGTACTTTCCTACATGCAGGCAATACACGCATACACATAAAAATAAATAAATAAAATTTTTAAAAAACATTTTCTGCCGGGCGTGGTGGCGTACACCTTTAATCCCAGCATGCGGGAGGCAGAGGCAGGCGGATCTCTGTGAGTTCAAGGACAGCCTGGTCTACATAGTGAGTTCCAGGACAGCTCTGGCTACGGGGAGACCCTGTCTCAAAAAGACCAAAAGAAAAGTATTTTCTTTGTTAATTTTAATTTTTTTCTTGTTTGTTTGGGTTATTGGTTTGGTTTGTTTGCTTTGTTTTTTGTTTTTTGAGACAGGGTCTCCCTGTAGCCCCAGCTGGCCTGGAACTCACTATGTAGACCAGGCTGGCCTTGATCTCACAGAGATCTGCCTGCCTTTGCCTCCTGAGTACTGGGATTAAAGGCATGTGCCACAACACCCCACCCAACTCTGTTAATTTTTAATTCTGAAGTACTGGAGGATAGAACCCAGCACCTCATGCATGCTAAGCAGGAGCTCCACCAGTGACCCCTGACCCCAGCCGAGAGCTGACCTTTTTTGTTGTTTTGTTTTTAAATGTCTTAAATGTTTTTAAATGTCTTTCTCATGAAGATAAGAGGATACGGTTAGTTTTCTCTCCCACCTTTATATGGGTTCCAGGGATCCAATTCAGGTCACCATGCTTTTATATAGCAAGCACCTTTACCTGATGAGCTAAGCTTGCCAGCCCTGAGCTGACATTAAAACAAAGTTAGATCACATCCTTCAGTTGTGTCAGACCCACAGACTTTCCCTCCTTCTAGCTAGTGCACTACCACTGATCTATACCCCAGTGCAAGTTTTTATTACATTTATCTATTTGTGAGTGTGTGTGTGTGTGTGTGTGTGTGTGTGTGTGTGTGTAGATGCGCACATGCCACAGCATGTGTGTGGAGGTCAAAGGACAACTTGTGGGAGGGAGTCAGCTCTCTCTTTCCACCATGTCAGGGGTCCTGGAGATTAAACTCAGGTTGTCAGGCTTGGTGGCAAGCACCTTTCTTCCCCTCCTCCATGTATGAGCATCCATAGCCTCCCACTGTCTTAACCCTTCTCAAACTCAGGCCTCACAGGCTACTCCATTCTGGCATACTGGCTTCTCTCAACAATGCAAGCTTGCTCCCACCTCAGGGCCTTTACTCCTGCTGCTTGTGCCCCTGCCAAGACTGTTCTGGAGCCAGACTGACTTCAGATCTAGGCTGTGCTACCAATAGCTCTCTCATCTTGGGCAAGTGAGTTTGATGCCTTGGTTTTCCCATCTGTGCAGTGGGAAAATGAGAATATCCTTGTGAAGGTCAGTAGGAGAAGCAGACAGCAACCTATCACACAGCTGCTTGTTGGTCATACTGCTCTATCTAACGACTGTTAGGACTTCAAAAAAAAATTACCTGTCTGTCCATTAGTCATCTGTCTCTGTGTGTGTGTGTGTGTGTGTGTGTGTGTGTGTGTGTGTGTATGTGAACACAGGCACATATGTGCCGTGGCATGTGCATGGAGGTCAAAGAACAGCTCTTGGGAGTCAGTTCTCTTTTGCTACCATGATGGATCGTGGGATCAAACTCAAGTCATCAGGCCTGTGTGTGTAAGCACCTCTACCCTCTGAGCCAACTTGCCAACTCTGGACTTTTTCTATTTTTAGAAAAAATATAAAGTGGAAACAGAAGTTGAGAACTGGATCCAGAAATATGATATGGAGATGTATGAGAAGCAGGTTTGAGTCCCTCGCAGCAGGTGGGGGAGGTGATCCAAAGCCCAGGTCTGAGTTTCCCTTGGAGATCTGGGGGCAGGCCCCTCCCTGTCTCAAGGATGTGTCAGGCTGGGAAGAGGTGGAAAGGGGGAAGGATGACTACAAGACAGATCCAGCCAGGAGTATGTGGTTCCCTCTGATATCCTTGGCCCATGGTCCTCTACTATGACCTGGCGTGGCTCCTGCCCATCCCCAACTCTGAGAGGAGCCTGTCTCCAGCTCCTGCCACTCAGTATTTACTGAGCACCTGCAGTGTGAAAGGTACCAGGAAAAGGCAGTGAAGACCAGAAAGTCCCCATTGTCCTAGGAAGGTTCCAGACTGGTGTTACTCCTCAGCTGTGCCACCCGACTTGGGTTCCACCTCTCTGAACTTGTTTCAGAATCTGATTGACAGAGGTCATGATGTCTGTCCTGCCACGCTAGGGGCAGGGGGTCCATAAGAACCTGTTACTGAAAGTGTTTGAGTCTAGATGAAACTCTGCAGTAAGGGTGGGAGCCTGCACATCCCCATCTGCCTCCAGATAACCTCTTTGACCCCTGGCCCTGACCGGGGGTCTAGGGAGGCCCAGAGAGCAGAGAGACGACATCAGGCAAAGGCGTTAAAGGCCAGCCCTGCCAGTCAGAGAAGGGCCAGGCGGCCTCACTTAGCCTGACTCTAGTGCCCTGCCATGGACAGGAGCCATGTGGGCTGCTATGCTTGTTTCTTGGGTTCCAGTGAAGGTCATGTGGCTGGGGTCATGGCTGACTGATACAGTGTGCCTACTGTGTGAAGGCCCAGTACTGCAGAATAAACCCTAAAAATAGGCTCCACTGAGGGCCATGACCCAGCCTTATCTCCTTAGTGCTCTGCCCATGACTGGTGCTTGGTGAATGCTAAAGGGGTACAGAAAGAGAGGAGGGGAGGGGAAGGGAAGCAGGTGTGAATTGTGGCAGAAGGGGCCACAGTTGGGATCACTTAAGACAGATATTTATGCTCTGAGTCTGTGAAGCTGCCTCCACAGTATCGTAGTGGCTTTCCTTCCTGCGGCCCCATTGTATGCCTGGCACCACGGCATCGGTCAACTTTTTGCCACTATGACAAAACACCTGAGAAAAATAACTTAAAAGTAGGAAAGGTTTCTTTTGGCTCAAGGTTTTGGAGGGTTCAATCCATGATCACTTGGCCCCACTGCCTTGAGCTTGAGGTGGGCAGAGAACATCAGAGAATGCTCACCTCAGGGAGGAGGAGGAAGAAGAAGGGGAGGAGGAAAGAGAGAAAAGGAGAGGACAGGTTGGCCAGGTGAAGATACACCTTTCAAGGGCATGCCCCCAGTGACCTACTTCCTCCTAGGAGGCCCCTCCTGAAATTGTTCACCTGTCACCATCCTCATCTTCCAGGGGCTAATCCACTGAAGTTAGTGCCTTCATGATTCAGTCATTACCCAACAGCACCACCTAGCTGGTGACCAGGCCTCTAAACCATGCATCTTTGAAGGGCATTTCCTATTTAGGCCATAAGGTCATTTGATCTCAGAAACAGGCCCCTGGTTTAGAATTATCCCTGTGTTTTAAATGAGGAAAACAGGTTTAAAAAGTGAATTTCCTAGAGGTAAAGAGAAGTTGGACTTTAGAACTGGAACCGGGGGCTGGGGAGATGGCTCAGTCTGTCAAGTGCTTACTGTACAAGCATGAGGACCCAAGTTCGGATCCCCAATATCCACCTAAAAAGCCAGGTATGGTAGCATGTACCTGTTTACTGAGTACATGGAGACAGGCAAATCTTGGAAGTTTGCAGGCCAACCAGCCTAGCTGAATCAGCAAGTTCCAGGTCCAGTGAGAGATCTTGCCCCCAAAAGTAAAGTGGAGATAAATTGAGGAAGATACCTGACATTGACTTTTGGCTTCTACACACATGCACACACACATGAATGTGTACCTGCATCCACATCTGTACTTACACGAGAACATACACATACTGTATCTGTACTGCTCACAGCCCTTGTTCCTGCCTTGTTACAGAAATGCATTCAGTTGGGTCCCACCTGGATGGGCCCCTCACCTTCCCTGAGCCCCATGGGCCCAGGTGCAGACAGGCTCAGCACCCCACCTGGCTGGGGAACATGGGGCATGGGAAGACCCAGCCAGGTGCCATGCTTCCAGCCCTGCCTACCCCACAGGATGAGTATGAGGACCTGGAGGCAATCCACAAGGAGGAGCAGCTGCAGCTGGAGGAGCTGAAGCAGAGGCATGCGGTGCTGGTGGAGGACTTCACCCAGATCCGTGCTGAGAAGGAGATGAACTCCAAGAAGCGGGTGGAGGCTGAGCGTGAGATGGTGCGCATGGTTAGGGCTGCCACACTCATCCAGGCGGTGTGGAAGGGCTACCTGGTCCGCTCCATGCTCAGGTCCAGGAAGAAGAAGCGGGGCAGGGGAAAGGGCAAGGACAAAGACAAGGGCAAGGGCAAGGGCAAGAAGAAGTGAGCACCCCAGCCCTGCTGCCTCTCAGCTCTGCTCCCCCCAGTCCTGCTACCCACTTCCCCCAGCCCTGCTCCTCACAGCTCTGTTCCTCTCCAGCCCTGCCGTTCCTGGCCTTAAGGATGACTAAAATTAAAACCATTTCAAACCACATTCAAGGGCACACCCTTCAACAGATGTGTCTGCCCATGGCTGAGGCTTTGTGTGCTCATGGGCACTCGAGAGTGTCTGCTTCCTGAGGAGGGGGCAAGCTGTGGTCCCCATCTGTGGACAGCCTCAATAGGGAACAAGCCCCTGGCCCTAGTCCTGAAGCTGCCATGGTTGCCATGGAGACATCATCCAGTAGAGCGGCAGGTGGAGGTCTCAGCTGCTGGCCTGGGATAGTGTGCAGAGAGCCCTGAACGAGCCTTGGCCTTCCTAGGGTTAGCACACACACCTCCAGCTCTAGCCCTGGTGGTTGGAGGAGGGCATCAGAAGCCATTTTTGGTGCCTAGGTCATTGCATAAAAAATTTTTAAAGTATTAGTTACTGGAATTTCATAAATTGAGAGCTATCCTATAGAAAACTGCCTTTTCTGGAAAGATCTCATGGCTCAGAAGCAATACTCCCCTCCTCCTTTATTTTTAAATTATTTATTATTTTTATTTTATGTGTATGCATGTATTGCCTCGTGTAGGTAAGTGCACCCGTGTCGTGCAGTGCCCAAGAACAGAAGAGGCTGTCGGATCCCCTGGGACTGGAGTTACAGAGTTGTTAGCTGCCATGTGGGTGCTGGGATTGGAACCCAGGTCTTCTGCAAGAACAACCAGTGTTCTTAACTGCTGAGTCATCTCTCCAGCCCCTCCTTTATTTTTGAGACAGGGTATCCCTAGGTAGTCCAGGCTGGCCTTGAGCTAGTGGTGATCCTCCTGCTTCTGATGTTCAAGTATCAAGATTGCAGCCATGCACCACCATTCCTGGTTAGCCTCCCCTCCCCTACCTTTAGGTATTCCTGCAGGCTGCCTGTCCCCACCATTCCCAACTGCTTTGACACTGGGCTCCAGTTAATCTTTAGAATAGATGGAAGAGAGATACATGTCTATATTTCTATCAAAATGGAGGGAGGGAACACAATAAATGAGAGGTGTATGTTCTCAGAAGATAGGAGGTGGGGCTAATTCATTTGTGAAAATTCTAGAACTTTAAACATCCTACCCTGTTAAAGTGCATCTGTGCCAGGTGTGGCCATCTGACCTCTTCAGGTATTCACATGTGTGTACCTGGGCCTGGCCACCCAGCATCCTTTCCCAGGGCAGAAGCCTTGAGGCAATGGTGGGGCTGCCCACTGGGCTCCCTGGAATGCTTAGAGTAGAATGGGGCAAGGAGAGGTCCAAGGCCATGCTCCCATTGCTCAAGGCAGAATGTAGGGTCTCAGGTGCAACTGTGAGGCCCCACAGTAGTGCAGGGGAGCCATGTGCACCCAGCAGCCCAGGGTGCTAGTGCTCTACAGACACCCTTCCCTGGCTGACTTCCCCACTAAGCCCGGTCCTAAATACTGCTGGTTTTGTTTTTGGGTGGTGCTAAGGATTAAACTCAGGACCTCATGCTTGCTAGGCAAGCACTCTACCACTGAACTATATACCCACTCCTCAACAAAACAGTTGCTAATAAAACTTACTCCATGTTCTGAGCTGGGCAAGAACCAGCCTACCTGCCAGCTGGACAGAGATGGCCATGGTGGACTCAGCCTTGAGGCCTGTGTTCCCAGACCTTTCTGCCACATCCTTAAAGTACCTGTTGTCATATTTAACTTTGTTAATTAATTCAACTCTGGCACAACAAAGGCCTTTACTTACAGGGGAGAAAAACATGCCCAGATTTGATGAGCTATGGGTGCATTTAATACATGGAATAAATACAAGAATATTAAAATAATGCTTACCGGACCCCTCCGCCAAAGGGGCCGCACACAGCCCAGGAGTCCCCTGAGGCCTCCCCTTGGTGGAAACTGAATCCTGAGCAGGAATCAGTTCAAAGTTTCAGAACACACAATTGGCACAGACGGCAGAGTGTGGCAGAGAGGGACAGTTCAGGGAATCCTGAGTTTGTGCGGTCACAGGGAGACACAGCCTGTTCTTGCCAGGGCCCCCATGGGGGCCTCTCCAGAGCCTAGGGGCCCCAGAGATGCTGGTCTCCCAGAGGACTCCACTGGGGTTGTGCCACAGCTGCTGGGCCATAGGATTACCTGGTGAGTGCCTCATTTCCAAGGGGGCTTTGGTTTGGCGAGGCCTGTCCCTCGTCGGGGGACAGCTGGCCCTGAAACACTGCCTGACCATGCCCTAGGAGTGACCAGGGGACTCTGGACAGTCACCCCTGCTGTGGAAGGCCTGGGATCCCGAGGTTTATTTGTGGGGCGGCGACTGGTGGCTGGGTGACTGGTGCTGGGGACACTCAGGTGGGTAAGGGAATGGGAACGGCCCTGCCCCAGAGGGCGGAGCGCATCTAACCCATCCTGAGCCAGCTTCCTGGAGCTTGTGGCCACCCTGAGCTCTGTCCTGGAGGGTCCAGCTGGGTGAACAGCTCGCAGTGGGGTCTCCCTGGGCCGAGGTGAGGGGCCACCCCTAGGGGTGGCCGGTGGCGTCCAGAAGAGGGCACGGAGCTTGGCAGCATCCCCCATGGCTGTCCGAGACACTTCCCCTCTGGTGCCCTGCGACCAGAAGCCAAACAGCGACTCATCACAGTAAGATGGGGTATGGCTGATCAACCTGGAAAAGGGAAGGACACAGTGACTGGGGCCATCACTCTAAAGACCTCCATAGCCCTGCTCCCCCACCAGACACCTTGCCTATATACCCTGTGGGTCCTTGTTCAGCATGGCACCCTAGGGAAGCCAGTCTCCCCCATATCCATGCATTCCTTCTGTTCTATCCCAAGTCTCCATCCCGCATGGGCAGATGTACCCAGCCTGGCCAATCTGTATATGCCATCCTCCTGCCTATGATGAGTGGGTAAAAGGTGGCCACATGACACAAGTCTATCCAATGAGAGTCTGCCTTGGGACTCCTTGTTAGGTAATCAGCCTGCATCTTGTGACTCCTTTCCTGTCCAGAAGACTGAGGGGGAGGGGCAAAGAAAGTGGACACCCACAGGCCTCATGGTAGTCAGCGCCCCGTATGTGAGCTCCGTATTTCTTTTTTCTGTTGGACCCAGTTGGAGTGATCTTTCTGTCACCTACCACCAAGTGTCCCAAGTACTGTTATCCTCGGGTATGGGGGGAACCATTCCAGGGGCCTGGTGAGCATCTGCATATACTCAAGTCCTGTTTATGGAGTGAGAATATTTGCATGTAGCCTACATCATCCTCCTGTACCTAATCATCTCCAGATTACTGGTGGTGCCTAATCACAGTACTGCATACCATGTACGTTAGATGTCATGGAAATAGTTGTTTAGAAATGACAAGATTTTTTTTTTTTTTCCGTCTTTTTTGAGACAGGGTCTCCCTGTAGCCCCAGCTGGCCTTGAACTCAGAGATCCACCTGCCTCTGCCTCCCGAGTGCTGGGATTAAAGGCGTGTGCCACCATGATTATAGGAGCTTGGGCCAGCAAGATGGCTTAGGTGGTAAGGGTGCTTGCTGCCAAATCTGACAACCTGAGTTCCATTCCTGGGACCTACCTGGTAAAAGCAAAGAACTGATTCCCATAAATTGTTCTTTGACCTCTGCACAAGTACATTCTCCTCCCCAAAATAAATAAAAATAATTTTAACAAGATCTATACAAGTTCTACAGAGATGTAATCTTTTTTGTCTGAATAGTTTTTCAAGAATTTCTTTTCTGGGGGGAGGGGTGGTCTTTTTTGGGACAGAGTCTCTCTGTAGCCTTAGTTGGCCTAGAACTCACTGAACTTGCTATGTAGAACAGTTGGCCTTGAACTCACAGAAATCTGCCTATCTCTGCCTCCTGAGTGCTGGAATTAAAGGCATGCACCACCACACCCGGCTAAATTTCTAAGTTAAAAAAAAAAATTTTGTTTTATGTGTACAAGTGTATTGCCTACATGTAGGTAGGTATATCTGTCTTATGCACTGCCCACAGAGGTCAGAAGAGGGCATCAGATCCCCCTGGAATTGGAATTATGGATGGTTGTTAGCCAGCATGTGGGTGCTGGGAATTGAACCTTGGTCCTCTGCAAGAATACCCAGTGCTCTTAACCACTGAGCCATCTTTCTAAATTTGTGAATTTTGTCATTATTATTGTGGGGTGTATGTGTGTGTGTGTGTGTGTATGTGTGTACAGACATATTACACGTGTGGAGGTCAGAGGACAACTTTATGGAGTTCTCTTATTTATTTATTTATTTATTTATTTATTTATTTATTTATTTATTTATTTATTTATTTATTTATTTATTTATTTATTTATTTATTTATTTGTCTTTTTTGAGACAGGGTCTCCCTGTAGCCCCAGCTGTCCTGGAACTCACTATGTAGACCAGGCTGGCCTTGAACTTGCAGAGATCCGCCTGCCTCTGCCTCCCAAGTGTTGGGATTAAAGGCGTGTGACACCACACCCGGCCTTCTTCCACCTTTAAAAAGGTTCCAGCAATAGAACTCAGGTCACAGAGCTATCTCACCAGCCAACACTACCATTTATTGAGAGCTGTATACCTGCTAAGCACTGTATACACCTCTCATTTAATAGGACCATTGGTTCTATTTTCTACATGAGGAAGTGCAGCTCAGAGAAGTCAAGGTGCTGGCCCAGGGCAGGTGAACAGCAGGCTGTACCAGGAACCGGAAGAGCTACTGTAACCAATAATTTCAGTTGTCAAGATGGCAAGATCTGGAATCACCTGGGAGGGCTGTCTCAATAAGGGATTGTTTAGATTAGGTTGGCTCATGGACGTTCTTGAGTTCTGAGGTGGGAAGACCCACCCTAAATGTGGGCAGCACTACATTTTATGGGTCCTGAGCTGAATGAAAGGGAGAAAGGGAGTGGAGCAGCAAGCATCCCTTATTGTCTTGCCTCTGGACTACAGATGTCATGTGACCAGGTGTCTTGGGCTCCCAACACTGATTTCCTTGCAACAGCGGATGGACTGTGAGCCAGAATAAACCCTTTCCCCTTAAGTTGCTTTCTTCAGAATAGTTCATCACAGCATCCAGGAGACCAGGTCAGCTACCTGAGCATAGGATGCACCCCAACCCTGTTACCTGTATTTGTTCTTCTTCCTTGGTGTGAGGGTTGGGGTATTGCCCCTGGAAGGGGTGACCTCACAGTTTCCCTTGGCAACAGAGGCCCTTGATGGTCCCGTGCCCAGTCCTCTGGTTCGGTTGCAATTCTGTGCCCAGGGCGGGTCAAAGCCTGGCGGTGAGGGCCGGGTGCCTGCAGGGCTGCCAAACAGGGTCTCATCCACATAGGAGGCCCTAGCCTTGACCCTGTAGCTGCTGGGGTGGAGCGTCTGCATTCCACTGGTTGCCAGCTCTACAGGGGTCTTCACGCTGCTCCTGGTCTGGTGTGACAGTGGGTGGGCTCTGCATGCCAGGCTGTGCCTCCAGGGCTCCCTGTGAAAGGGTAGGGGAAGGAACAGTGGCAGCCTGGAGTTCCAAGACCAAGGGCAAAGGGGCCTTTTCCATCTCAACAAAAGGAACTAGGCTTTCTCAAACGTGTGTGTGTGTGTGTGTGTGTGTGTGTGTGTGCGTGTATGTGTAACATCCAAGACGCACCCTGGAAATGTCTTTCTCCCTCACTTCCAAGGTTTCATGTAGCCCAAACTGGCCTTGAATTCACTATATTATATAGCCAGAAATGACTCTGAACTCTTGGATCCTTCTGTTTTTACTTCCCAAGTCAAACTGTAGTACTGCCCAGTGTTTGCAGTGCTGGGGATTGAACCCAAGGCCCTGTTTATGCTAGGTGAGACCAACCCAGCCACACCCCCCAGCCGTCTTTTTAGTTGTCATGACGGGTGGGTGCTGCCAGCAAACATTTAATGAATAAATAGGTACTTTTAGCTTACAGTGTAGGCTCAACAAATATTTACAACTTGGGGGAGGCGGGCGGGCGAATGAGGGATAGCATCAACCAGAGAAACTAATGGTGGGAGCGGTAAGGATGGCAGTTCCCTAAGTCAGTGGACTCCTGTGTGGGGTGTCACGCTAGCCCCTGTCGAGCCCATGCCTACCTCGTGCAAGGAGCTTTGCCAGCATGGCGTCACCTAATCCTTTCCATAGCCTGGAGAAGTTGTTCTGATTAAATTCATTTTACGGATCACAAATGTGAGGCTTCAGAGAGCGAAGTCGCATGCATAAGTCACGCCTACAAAGCTAAAAGAGTGCAAGGGTCACTGAAACCTGCTCTGATTCCAGATCTGGCGTCCCTCGCTGCTGCACACTGAGGTCTTGAGTTCCTGGGCTCTTTTCCTACCTGAAAACTCCAGGTACCCTTCCCAGCGCCTCTTCCCTTCAGATCTGCACTCCTGGGGTGTTGCAGGGTTCCAATCTGCAGCTCGGGACAGCCCAGGCTGTCGGCCTGGTCCGGGAAGCCGGGCCCTAGCAACCCGCGCGTGCCAAGCGCATAGGGCTTGCACCAACGCGCGCCCAAGCCAGGCCTCGCTCAGTTGGTACGTCCCGAAGACCCCGCCCAGGGCAGTTAGTACGTCCCACAGACCACCCCCGCACAATTGGTATATTCTGCCCGCCACGCCCCCGCAAGTTGGTACGCCCGAGGCCCCGCCCGTCTCTCCCGACATCCAGTCCCCGCGCAGTGGAAGGTACCTCAGTCCCCGCCCCCTTTCCTTCGCCCCGGTCCCCGCTGTCCTACGTTCCGCAGACCCCGCCCTCTTCCGGGTCTGAGCGCCCGACCCGCATGGCTGCAGGTACACGCACGGGGCCGAGCCCGCGTTCAGAAGCAGCCATGGCGCCATGGAAGAAGAAGAAGGGGCTCCGGAGGCGCCGGGGCGGCAGTTCCCAGGCCCGTGACAGCGACTCGGATGACGGCGAGTTCGAGATCCAGGCGGAAGACGACGCCCGGGCGCGGAAGGTAGGAGCGCGGAGCCCGGGGCGCGGGCGTAGCCCCTGCCTCGGGCGCTCGGCCTGGCCTTTCCGGTGCTCATTGAATACGCCCGCTCATTGGTACCTTCGCCCAAGGGGCGGGGTTCAGCTCCCATCCAACCAATGAAAAGTTAAGGTGCGGAGTTTGGGGCATTCTTGAGAGACTGAATAAAGGAGAGGCTCCGGACCCAGACTTTGAAAAGCGAGCCACGAACTAAATGGGTCCTGTCCCAGCTGTGCGAGCCTCATCTCTAGGGGCTGGGAAGCTGGACCAAAACCTCACGGCTTGTGAGGGGACAGAAAGGTTTGAAACTGAAGGTGCCTGGATTCCACTACAGAGCGCCAGATGTGTACACGTGGGGAGACACGTGTGAGCGCCAAGGGGGCCTGCCCATTCATACCTCCCGCCTGCTTGTGCACGGCAGGTACCCTCACAGAATAAGGCTCTGGATATCACAGGAATAAGAAGGTGTTAGTGTAAAAAGACAACCTCTTCCTTCATTTCCCCTCCCCATCCTAGCCAATGCCTTGGCATTCAGTAGGTGCCTAATGAATGTGCAGAAACTAGTAAAAAGGAGAACACAGGTAGAAATTGCCGGGAGAGGAGGCTGCCCACATGGTTCATACCAAGGGCTTTACTGTGGCCCAGCCAATTCGGAGCTAACTTTTTTTTTTTTGTTTTTTTGAGACAGGGTTTTCCTGTAGCTCCAGCTGTCCTGGAACTCACTATGTAGACCAGGCTGGCCTTGAACTCACAGAGATCCACCAGCCTCTGCCTCCTTAGTGCTGGGATTAAAGGCGTGCGCCACCACACCCAGCCCAGGGCTGACTTTTTTTATACATCAAAATCCCAGCTGTGGGCTGGGGTGTGCTCAGTTGATAGCCTGCTTCCTTAGCATGGGTTTGAGCTCCAAAATCAAATAAAAGCAGACTAGATGGTACAGGCCTGTCATCCTAGCACCAGGGAGGTGAAGACAGGTGACACAGGAGTCAAGGTCATCCTTGGCCACATATCAAGTTGGAGGCCAGTCTGGGGATTGAATTCAGGGCCTTTCCCATGCTGAGCATGCACTGAAACACTTAGATATGCCTTCAGTCCCTGAATATTTCTCTTTACAAAAAGGATTTCCTTCATCCTGGGACACAAGCATATGTACTCAAGGTCCATTATGGACTTTGTGCCTTCTGGATCTGGGGAGCCCACTCTCTACCACTGAGCAAGCTCAATGCCCAGCACACACGAATAAATGAATGAATAAAAAAATAAACATAATACGTCTATGTATGATGAAAAGAAACCACAGTAAGAGGTCAATAATCCAAGTATGGTGGCACATGCTTCTAATTCCAGCACTCGGGAGGCAGGCTGATCTCTTTGAGTTCCAGGCCAGCCTGGTCTACATAGCAAGTTCCAGGCCAGCCAGGGGTACATAGTGAGACCCTGTCTCAAAAAAAAAGTTGTTCTGCCTGGTATGGTGGCGCACACTTGATCCCAGCACTCGGGAGGCAGAGGCAGGAGGATCTCTTTGAGTTCGAGGCCAGCCTGTTCTATACCGTGAGTTCCAAGCCAGCTGGGGCTACAGTGAGACCCTGGCTCCAAAAACAAAAGTTGTCTTCTGACTTCCATACTCTCCTCCCACATCATACACATAATAATACTAAATTTAAAAATCAAAAAATAGAATGAAAGTATAAGATACATACCTTGGTGCTCTCAAACAGTATGTTACAAACACTTGTGTCGGTTCCCTGACATTCAGTTGTGTCACCCAAGTGCATCTTTACTTCCTAGCCACACATGACAACAGACCTAGAGTCTTGAAGGAGACAGATGAAATAGTGAAACAAGGTGTTAGACCAAAGTGGGAAAGGAATACAGATGGAGATAGACTGGGTCTGATGGGGCAACCTGTGATCTCAGCTACTTAGGGGTGCTGAGATAGGAGGCTACATGGTAAGTTCCAGGCGGTCCTGGGCAACTGAGTGGGAGCCTAGATCAAAAATAAAAAGTAAAGTGGACCATGGTGGTCCACACCTTTAATCCCAGCACTCTAGAGGCAGAGGCAGGTAGATCTCTGTGAGATTGAGGCCAGCCTGGTCTACATAGTGAGTTCGAGGCCAGCTGGGGCTCAGGGAGACTCTGTCTCAAAAAAAAAGGGTGTGGGGAGGGTATGGTTCAGTGGTAGAATGTTGCCTCTCGTTTGAGGGGCCTGGGATTCATCCTTAGTATCAACAAAACAACATTTGGTGGGAGGAGGGGAGTCTTAATCTGTGCCAAAAGGCAAGATAAAAAAGGAGGCTGGGTGTACTGGCACATGACTTTAATCCCAGCATTTGGGAGGCAGAGACAGGTTGATCTCTGTGAGTTTGAGGCCTGCCAGAGCTGAATAATGAGACCCTGTCTCAAAAAACAAAACAAACATAATTCATAAGGAATGGAAAGGGAGGAAAAAAGAAAGAAAATGAAAGTAATAAAATCGGTGTTGATACATTAAAACTTAGACACTCTAAGGTACTTTTGACATGATACATGTGTAAAAATAGTTACCCTATTTTTTTTATTATAGGTGTGGTCATTCACACCTGTAATTCCAGCACCAGGAGGCTGAGACAGGAAGATTGTCATGAGGTCAAGGGCAGCCTGGGCTATGTAGTTAGTTTCAGGCTAGCCTATGATACATAGCCTGTGATATTGTCTCAATAGGTAAGTAGGTAGATAAATGAATAAATAAAAGAAAATTATACAGGACCCATTGCAAGGTAGTGAGACTGCCAGCTTGCTGTTGTCAGAACTCACAGGGACCAGACCTGCAGGGGACAGTGTGGCTAGGCAGGTGCTCAGCCAGCTCCACAGGCACACAGCAAGCTCCTCTTCCCTGAGAGTCCTCCATCTTCAGCTTCCACCTCTTCTGGAAAGAGTTATACTTTCCCACTGGGTCTTGACATATACCCCCTCCCATGGGCCCATGTCCTTTACCATCTTCAGTTTCCAGGAGGAACATTCAGGCTTAGGGGCGGTCAAGGCCTTGCTGCGGCTTCACCATTGGTAAAGGACAGAGCTGGGCTAGAAGGCCTTTCAGTCTGTCCTCAGAGTCTGTCTGCACTACCCTGGCCTAAGAGCCTGTGAGAGAGCTGGGGAGATTCCTGGGAGGCACAGGTGGGAAGAAGTCCCCTCTCACTGCCTCTCCATTCTTCCCTTGCAGCTGGGTCCTGTCCGAGCCCTACCCACCTTCCCCACCTCGGAGTGCACTTCAGATGTGGAGCCAGACACCCGGGAGATGGTTCGTGCCCAGAACAAGAAGAAGAAGAAGTCTGGGGGTTTCCAGTCCATGGGTGGGTGAACAGACTGGATAGCTGGGGCTCTGGGAGGCAGCTTGGGGGATGGAGAGGTGCTGTAGGGGAATCATTGTTGCCTCTATGCTCAGCTACTGATGTCTGCCCTAGGCCTGGCACTGTGGTAGGTGTTAAGTAGACTGAGGAAGCAGACTCAGTCCCCTGGGCATCCTGGGCCATTGAGCAGGGAGCAGCAGGCCAGATACAGGCTGGGCAGGCATGGGAAAGTGGGTGCCACTGTAAACATGGGAGGTGGCGGAGGGATTGGTACCCTCTAGGACTGCCCTGCAGGAAGGGATGGGATGACCAGGTGGTGCCTGGGTACCTGCTCAGGAATAAAACCTTAAGTTTCCTCTTTTGACAGAGTAGAACCTACTAGAGCAATGATTGAGATCCCCATCTGAAGGAGCTGGTGGTATGTGCCTGTTATGTAGGGAGACCCTGCCTCACACTAACAAAACAGTGAGGAAAAGAGTGACTTTCCAAGGGTGATCTGAATACTGCTTAGCTTGACTTTTTGTTTTGTCTCCCTGTAGTCCCAGTTGGCCTGGAACTCACTCTGGAGATCAAGATGACCTGCCTCTGCCTCCCAAATGCTGGGATTAAAGGCATGGGCCACCACACCTGGCTTTAGTTTTACTCTATCATCCATCCATCTATCTATTTATCTATCTATCTATCTATCTATCTATCTATCTATCTATCTATCTATCATCTATCTATATCTATCAATCATCTATCTATCATCTATCTATCTAATCATCTGGCTATCTATCATCTATCTATCATCTTCTTATCTATCTATCATCTATCTAATCATCTGGCTATCTATCATCTATCTATCATCTTCTTATCTATCTATCATCTATCTAATCATCTGGCTATCTATCATCTATCTATCATCTTCTTATCTATCTATCATCTATCTAATCATCTGGCTATCTATCATCTATCTATCATCTTCTTATCTATCATCTATCTATCATCTATCTAATCTTCTCTCTATCTTATCTATCTTCTATCTATCATCTATCTATTTATCTATCTATCTATCTATCATCTATCTAATCTTTTTGAGACAGGGTCTCCCTGTAGCCCCAGCTGTCCTGAACTTACTATGTAGACCAGGCTGGTGTTGAACTCACAGAGATCCCCCTGCCTCTGCCTCCCAAGTGCTGGGATTAAAGGTGTGCGCCACCACACCTGGCTATTTTTTAATTAAAAAAAAAAAATTTACTTATTTATTCTATTTTATGTGTATATGTGTATTGCCTGCATATGGGTAAGTGTACCCATGTGGTGCAATGCCCGTGGAGGTCAGAAGAGGCTGTCAGATCCCCTGAGACTAGAGTTACAGACAGTTGTTAGCTGCCACGTGGGTGCTCAGATTCCAACCCGGGTCTTCTGCAAGAATAACCAGCGTTCTTAACCAGTGTTCTTAATCTCTTCAGCCCTAGTTTGACTTTTTAAATAGCCATACATATACCAAAAAGCACCAGGACTATATCTGCAGCACATCGGGCATATAATATACAAAAAGTTCTTACAAATCAGTAAGAAAAGGCAGACACTGAGGGAGAACTGGGTGAAGAACTTGAATACTCAGTTCACAGAGCAGTTTAGATGGTCAGTAAGATCAAAACAAACATGCCAAAACTCATTGATAAACAGAGACAATCAAACAGAAACATGAAGATGAAAGGTTGACCAGAAAGCAGCAGACACTAGTGCTGTCCTGCCTATAGGCCTCCCACTGACTCCCAGCTCCTCAGCCCAAGTCATATTCAGTCCCAAGGGCCACTATTCTGCCCTCATGGGCCCCACTTATCAACAACCCTATAGTACTAGTTCTGGGAGTGACACACACCTGTTTTCCTAGCACTCAGGAGGTAGAGGATGGAAAGTTCAAAGGTCTTTGGAACTTTACATGGAGAGGCTGTGTCTCAAACAGACACCAGAAAAAGAATTCAAACCGGGGAGGTCAAGAGGGGCTCCATGCCTTGGTCTGTAGACTGGTCTCTGAAGGCACATTTAACCTTGCAGTTTCTACTTTATTACTGTTTTTATTTAAATTACGTGTGTGTCTGTGCATGGATTGTCAGAGGACAACTTGGGAGAGTTGGGTCTCTGCTTCCATCATGTGGGTCCTAGGGATTGAACCTTAGATTGTTGGACTTAGTGGCAAGCTCCTTTACCCACCAAGCCATTTCACTGGTCTCCTTTCTGTTTTTTTGAGCTGTTTAATCTGTGGGCAGAACAGTGCTTTGTCTTATAATGTGCCCTGTGGTGGCTGCCATGGTCCCTGGTCCCCTGACTACTCTCACGTCTCTCCCAGGCTTGAGCTACCCTGTGTTCAAAGGGATCATGAAGAAGGGCTACAAGGTGCCAACACCCATCCAGAGGAAGGTGAGAGGCCAGAGAACTATGGGCTGGGGCACGGGTGAGAAGTGGCCTGTGACGGCCATTCCTGTCAGCTCTCTTGCCATCTTCACTCCATCTAAAGCTTCACATAGCTCAGCCACTTCACAGGAGAAAGTCGGGCTCAGCAGAGCTGAGATATGACCCTGAGTCTCTGTCCCAGTTGTACCCACTGCTGAGTCCTGCCCTGCAGTTTGCAGGTTCCCCACAATGGCCTTGGGCCTGCAGTTGTTGCCCTCAGACATTTAGCTGTGTGGCAAACAGTGATCCTAGGGACAAGGAGACCTAGCCTAGGAGGCAGAGTCTGCAGCTGGAGGTGCAGCAGTGACCTGCCCATCCCTAGAGGTATACAAACAGACCTTTGTATAAATGGATTTGGTTCTTCTCTGAGATCCCTAGTTTGCCCAGCCATGCTGGTGCCCAAGCTGACTCCACCTTTCACCTATATCCCACAGACCATACCAGTGATCCTAGACGGCAAGGACGTGGTGGCCATGGCCCGGACTGGCAGTGGCAAGACAGCCTGCTTCCTCCTTCCCATGTTTGAGCGACTCAAGGCTCGCAGTGCCCAGACAGGGGCCCGGGCACTCATCCTCTCACCTACCCGAGAGCTGGCCCTACAGACCATGAAGTTCACCAAAGAGGTGTGTGTCTTTGGAGCAGCTGGGGCCTGGTGGGAAGCTGTGAGGAGGCGGAAACAGCAGAGCCCTCACCCGCACGCCATTCCTCTGTTCCCCTCTCTCCACAGCTGGGCAAGTTCACCGGCCTCAAGATTGCCTTGATCCTGGGCGGGGACAAGTAAGGAACCCTCACCCCGGTGCCTCAGTGGTAGTCATTGCTTATCAGTAACAGCAACTTCTCTGCTTGTTCAAACAAGCTAGATGGGAACATGTGCCAGATGCTGGAATAATGACCCACAGCCCCACGTGATGGAGTCAGAGGGTCTAGCTTCCTGCAAGGGACCTGTCAGCTCACAGGGTCTACCAAGCCCTGGGTAGTGTGGATCAAGGAATGTTACAGCTCAGATGTATAGGATGTGGTGCTACCCAGGGGAACAGGTGCCATATGAGGGAGTAGGCACCACAGCCAAGTTGATGAGCAGTCGTACCCAGAGCCCTGCAGGGATGCCTCAGCTGCTGTTAGTCCACTCTGCTCACCCTGTCTGGCCCTCTATCCTGTCTTCTCCCACCAAGGGTGGCCCCTTTATTCTCTGTAGTCTGTGATTATCAGAAGGCCTAGCCAGGATCCCAACTCCTACAACTGCCTCAAGGGTGTTTCACAGGAAGTTAGAGATGTCTGCCCAAACCAAGTGAGGATTTAGGTGAAGTGGTAGTTCCAGGGCGAGTCACAAGGTGGTGCTGTGGGTCCATCACAGCTTTGTTCTATCTGGAACCACCCAGGAAGCCCAGGATTCTGTGGCTGAGCCCATGTCTGTAACTGTTCTTCTGTATTTCATCTTGTGTCTCTGACAGGCCTTTGCCTTGAGTGTCAACCATAGTTTTTCTTCACTTCCACGCCTCACGTGTGCTTGGGGTGGGATCTGGAAAGCCACATGGCTGTTTGATACTGGGAGGGACAAACTCAAAGCCCTGTTGTCCCAAACTGACCCCATTTCCTCCCCAGAATGGAAGACCAGTTTGCAGCCCTGCATGAGAACCCTGACGTGTGAGTTTGTTGATGGGGGATGCTCTGGGGTTCCTTCCTAGATTGTGGCTGGAGGGTGGTGGGGGCTGTGGTGTGGCCCTGGACCTGGGGTGACGTGGCCTATGCACCCCTTCTAGAATCATTGCCACCCCTGGGCGGTTGATGCACGTGGCTGTGGAGATGAACCTGAAGCTGCAGAGTGTAGAGTATGTGGTTTTTGATGAAGCCGACAGGTGAGTCCACAGGTGCACCCGAGTGCTGTTGGGGTCAGCCCCGAGGCCCAGGAAGCAGAGGGAAGGGGGGTTCACCAGGAGGATGGCTCAGCCCAGGGAGACCTGAGTGTGCGGTTCCATCATGTGTGCGGCGGGTCACAGTCAGCAGCAGCAGTTTCCTTTTTCTACTTTGGAGAACTGAAAAGAGTGACACGGTCAAACTGGGATGTTGCTGCAGGGAGACCACTTGCCTAGTGTGCACAAGGCTGAGTTTGAGCTCCAGCACAGGAAAAACCAAAAACGTGATTTTGGAGGATTAAAATTAGCACAGACCCAAAAAAAGCCAAATAAAATAAAATCCTAAAAGCCAGGTGTGGTGGTGCATGCCTTTACTCCCAGCACTCAGGAGGCCAAGACAGGCAGATCTGTGAGATAGAGGCCAGCCTGGTATACATCCCACGTCAGCTGGGACTACAGGGAGACCCTGTGTATTTAAAAAAAAAAAAAAAGCCATAAAATAAAATGATCGTTAGATACATGGGATCATATTCTATATCTGAACTTGGGCACGGCACTGTGCCTCTGGGCCAGAACTGCGTCATCTAGAAAGTGGAGGTAAAGCTGCACATACCCTGTGGGGTGCTGTGAGACCCCCAAAGACAGAGATCTATACTGGTGCAGAGCTGGGGCTGGGCTCATTTATCCCAGCATGCGCTTGTAGGAAATGGACTGGGCAGCAAATTCAAGGTCCTTGTTACTGCTCTGGTGAGGTCTTAGGTGGCCAGGCATGGTGGTGTGCACCTTTAATCTCAGCCCTCAGGAGACTGAAGCAGGCAGATCTCTATGAGATGGAGGCCAGCCTTCTCTCCATAGTGACTTCCAGGCAGGCTGGGACTAAGGAAACCCTGTAAAAAAATAAACATCGGTGCACAGGGTGGGGATTCTGGGATGAGGGTGGCTGAGGTTCTGTACTCCTTAGGGTGTAGGCCCCTCTCCTGACCCACCCTGCCTGCTACCCCCAGGCTATTTGAAATGGGGTTCGCCGAGCAGCTACAGGAGATTATAGGCCGTCTTCCAGGGGGCCACCAGACAGTGCTGTTCTCAGCCACACTGCCCAAACTGCTGGTGGAGTTTGCCCGAGCAGGTGAGTAGGTTGGGTATGGTGTTGGACTTGAGATAGGGTGGGTGTAGGAGAGTCCTGCCTGTCAGTGAACCCCGTGGCCTTTTCTGCCCTGCACAGGCCTAACAGAGCCCATGCTCATCCGACTAGATGTGGATACCAAGCTCAATGAGCAGCTCAAGGTGAGGTGGTGTCGGGCACCTTCCACAGGCTAGTGGCCAGGTGGGCCCTGCAGGCCCACATCCAAGGACTCATGCTGCCCCTCTTCCCACAGACCTCCTTTCTCCTCGTGCGCGAGGACACCAAGGCTGCAGTGCTTCTCCACCTGCTGCGAACTATCGTGAGGCCTCAGGACCAGACAGTGGTGTTTGTAGCCACAAAGCACCATGCTGAGTACCTCACAGAGGTGAGCAGCCTACTGTACAGATGGGATAGAAAGACTTGGGGACAAGCACCTGTCTCATTCTGAACTTGGGGCTGCACTTCGTACGGTGGCCATCAGAGGGCAGCAGCAGAACAGTTCATGACTATCTGAGCTGTCAGAGTTCACACAGTAATCCTGTGCCTGTTAGGTGGGCACAGCTGTTATCAGCACGCCCTGGCAGGTCTTGACCTGTCTGGCATTTTATGTAGACTATCTGAAATGTACCCCAGCAGACTGGGCATTTTTTGGTGGGTTTTCAATGTATATCTGACACATAGACATTATACTTCTGTGGTAAGCAATATAGGGTGCCCTTAGCCACCTGTGCATACCTGTGTGACTCTTAACTAGAGGCAAGTGTGGGAAGTCCCAGCACCCTAGGAAGCTGGAGGAAGGGCTGCTTAGCCACTGCCTCACACCCTAGCATCCACACCTGGGCTCTGCGGAGGACACGGGTCCCTGGGTTTCACTTGCTCCACACACGTCAATGGTGCCCTCCTCCCCTGTGCACCTGCTTGGGCTAATGCATAAGACTAAAACAGTAGCTTTTAGAGAGCAGTTGGCACTTCCTGTGTTCCAGGCTCAGCACTGTGTGCAGGAAGCCATTCAGTTCTTATAGCAGAGGTACAGAGGAGTCATTATACTCCCTGTCTACAGATGAGGAAAGTGAGGCACAGAGAGGTTGGATAATTTGTCCATGGTCACACAGCATCCCTAAGGCAGCCTACTGTTCACAGCATCGCCTTTTGATGCACAAGCAGCCTTGCAGATCTGGGAGGTGGGAGAAGTTCCTTTTATACTACTGGAGGTAGCAATCAGGTCAGCTGGCAGAGCTGTGATTCAAACCAAGGGTGCATGGCCCTCCTGCTCTACAGCCCTGTCTCTTGCCCTTATTCCCAACAAGGCTCATCTCACCTCCCACCCTTCGCTCTGAGCAGTTGCTGACGGCCCAGGGCATGAGCTGTGCCCACATCTACAGTGCCCTGGACCAGACAGCCCGCAAGATCAACCTGGCCAAGTTCTCTCATGGCAAGTGCTCCACCCTCATTGTGACTGACCTGGCTGCCCGGGGCCTGGACATCCCCCTGCTGGACAACGTCATCAACTACAGTTTCCCTGCCAAGGGCAAGCTCTTCCTGCATCGTGTGGGTGAGGAACCAGAGCCCTGGCAGTGGCACTGATGGGGAGGGACACTGCGAGTTGCTGGCAGCTGAGAATAGGGGCTTAGCTCCTGCCACTACTGGTGGGGAAACTGAGACCTCAGGGAATTCTTCTTGGGTAGATCCCAACAGATAGTCTCCTAGGTCTCTGATTACCTGCTCCCCCCATTTGATGCTGGGGATGGAACTCAGGGAGTTACACGTGCCTAGCATGTGCTCTGTCACTGAACATACTATGAGTTTGTGTGCTGTGTTTGTACACGTGAATAAATTAGGTGAATGTGTGGGAGAAGAGAAAATGGGAGCAGGGTTTCTTAGGGTGTTGGGTACATGTGTCTGGATGTGGTTGAATATGTGTGCCCAGCTGCCTGATGGGTGGACTCAGAGGCAGAGGGCTGTGCCCTGTTACATCACTGTTGGGGAATGCAGAGGGCCCTCTGTGGGTCTCTGGGCACATCCTTGCCACTGGCTACCTGCTGTCCTGAGTTCCCATGGTCTGTGGACAGCTGGTTCCTTGTATCTAGGGGGTTTCCAGAGCCCCCCAGGGGAATTCCTCTTGTATCACATGACCAAACACAGATCAGACCGCTTACATGGAAACCTACAAATACGGGACCTGGTATTTTCTTGAGACATAGATGCAAGCTAGGTATGATGGAGGAGGCCTGGGTTCCACGAGGCCGTGTCTATCCTCTCCACCCCCCACAAAAAAAAACCCTACAAAGCTGGGTGTGGTGGTATGCATCTTTAATCTTAGCACTCAGGAGGCAGAGGTAGGTGGATCTCTGTGAGATCAAGGTCTACATAGCAAGTTCCAGGCCAGCTGAGGCTATAGGGCGATCCTGTCTGAAAAAACAGCCAACCAACCAGAAACAAACTGAAATGTAATAGTACTTAGAATTTACTTGTGATTGGGCTCTTTTCCGCAAACTGCTGCTTCTTACATCACCATACACTAAGAAGTCTCCTCACTAACTGTGAAGGCATTCTGGGGTAAAGGGCTAGGCAGTGTGTACTTTGATTTTGGTGTGCTAGATTATCTTCGTCATAGCTACTTAATCTACATTTTTATAAGGCAAGTTAACGCTGAGAAATTATAAATGAATGGGCATGGCTGTGTACCAGTAAAGCTTTATATGTGCAAATGATGGGCCAGGTTGGGCTCATCCTCAGCTGTTTTAATTCCCATCTTGTGATCATGCACATGTTAACAAAGCCGGTGCTCTGTCCTGAAGCCTTCAGGTGGTTCTCAGCGTGGGGACTAAACTAAACCTTTTGTAGGACTCTTTGCATCTGTGATGGTTTTGGTGGGGGCCATCCTCCAAACCCTCCTGAGATAGTATCTGCCGGGAGAGTGTGGGACCACCGACCTCTGCTTCCCTTGCCCTCTCACACTTCTCTTGAGTTCTGTGTTGGCACAGCTCCAACCAGGGTCTTCTGTGGGCATGGAGCTGAGAGAGAAAACATTGAACATATTTCTCTGGGCCACTTCCAGCCACTTCTAGAGCTCTGTGCTGACATGTGCTTCCCACAGGTTAGCTGTCCACCCTGATCAGCCATCCCCCTTTTTCTTTATTGAGAGAGAGAGAGAGAGAATACTTGTGCCACAGTGAATGTGGAGGTCAGAGACAACTTGTAGGAGTCAGGTTTTTTCCTTTCATCCTATGGGTTCTAGGGATCAAACTCGGGTTGTCAGGCTTGGTGCCATCTCAGAGCCAGTCCACTGCCCCTTTTCATAGGTAGGGACAGCACTTCAGGGAGGGCTCTGCCCTGGCTCACTCCTGAGGGTCAGCAGAGGTGACCCTTGCTGGAGTTGGGGAGCCTCTACTGAAGCTCAGCTTTATCCTCCCATAGGCCGTGTGGCCCGAGCTGGTCGAAGTGGCACGGCCTACTCCCTGGTGGCCCCAGATGAGGTCCCCTACCTGTTGGACCTGCACTTGTTCCTGGGCCGCTCTGTCACCCTTGCCCAACCTCATGAGGAGCCAGCAGGTGAGGGGAGACCAGAGAGGGCTCAGGTCCCTAGGGAGTTCATGGGCAGGCAGGGGTACAGACACCCTGGTTTCAGGAGGTGGAAGCTGGATTAGATCCAAGATTGCCACTGACCATGCTGTGTGAATGGCTGTGGGCACTGGGACAGCTGTAGTTTGTAGCCCTGGTGCAGTACATCCTGGGGTCTGGTTGTACACGCTGCTCTATAGATTTGATTCTAGTTTGTAGCTGTTTTCCTAGGGTTCAATAGGCCTGGGAGGGGACAGAGTGTGGGCTGGCCCTCTCACTGTGTGTGCCCTATGGCTGGCAGGTATGGTTGGCAGAGATGGCATGCTGGGCCGGGTGCCACAGAGTGTGGTAGATGATGAGGACAGCAGCCTACAGACCACCTTACAGGCATCGCTGGAGCTGCGGGGCCTGTGCCGCGTGGCCGATAATGCACAGCAGCAGTATGTACGCTCACGGCCGGCGCCCTCGCCTGAGTCCATCAAGAGAGCCAAGGAGCTGGACCTGGCAGGGCTTGGCCTGCACCCACTTTTCAGTGAGATGCCAAAGGATTGTGTAGGTGGGAGCAGGCTAGCCCTGCCCAGCCCACCCTGGCCTCTCATATACCTCCCTCCCTGCCAGGCTCACGCTTCGAGGAAGGTGAGCTGCAGCGCCTGAAGCTGGTGGATAGCATCAAGAACTACCGTGCCCGCACGGTGAGTAAGGACCCAGAGAAAGCTTCCTGGCACACATACACTTGACCACTTGACAGCTCTGGCTGTCAGCACCTCCATAGACATCCTTGTTTTTGTGTATTTATTCCGGTCGTGCACAGCAGGTCCAGGCAGCAGCCACTTCCCACCACTCAGGTAGATTGAGTCCCCTTAATGGTATGACGTGTTCTCAGCCCTTGAGAGACTGAAGAGCCCTCCTTCACCAGACTTGACTCCCTCCTCTACCTCTTCACTTCTGCTGGTCACCTCTGGGAGTATACAGTGGGTGCATGTCCAAAGGTCAAGAAGAAGGCAGCCAGGCTGTCTGCTGCATAGGCCACTGGGGAGTGCCTGGAGGAAGCACTGGCTTCAAAGCCAAGTGCACTTTGTGAAGTCCAGGCTCCAACTTTTCCTTGCTGTGTGGCCTTGGGCAAGGAACTAACCCTTTCAGGGCTTCCCTCTCTAATTGTGCAGTGCTAATAGTGAAGGTCCCACCTCCAACAGTGAAGAGGACTTGAGGGATGTCCGTAGAGGACTCATCCAGCTGAGGGTGGGGACTGGGGTGGGAGATTGGTGGGCCACTGACGTGATAGCCCTTCTTCAGACCATCTTTGAGATCAACGCCACCAGCCGGGACCTAAGCAGCCAGGTGATGCGTGCTAAGCGGCACAAGGACCGCAAAGCCATCTCCAGCTACCAGCAGGGACGGCAGGAGCGGCAGGGTCGGCAAGAAGGCCCATCTAATCGTGTCTCCCAGGAGGAGTGGCCTCAGAAGGGAGAGGACAAGGAGGACGCAGGAGACAGTGTGCAGGTGCAGGGCTGGATCTGGGAGAGGGAAGGGGTATATCCCACGAGTCCATGAGAGAAGTCACGATACAGCCCTCAACCCTGCTGTCTGTGGAAGTGGGGTGCAGCCTTAGTTTCCAGTCTGTGCTCTGGGGCAGGAGAAGGATGTGGAATGTTTCCATCATTATGATCTAAAACCCAAGGTACAGGGCACAGAGGCTGTGTTATACACACACACTGTGTGGTGTCTGGGTCTCATTATCAGAGATTTTGCATAGGGACTTGTGAGTTTCAACACCTAGGGGATAGGCATGGGCTAGACAGCCTCTTGTGGGCCAGGGGCTCCTGCTACCATTTCCAGAAGAGTCCCTTTTCAAGCAAGTGTGGTGGTTCATGCCTGTGATCCCAGTACTGGAGAGACTAAGGCAGGGGTATGCCACAAGTTCAAAGCCAGCCTAGGCTACAGGGTGAGATGTCTCAAAAAACCAAAGAAAAGCTAGAGTCCCTTTTCTAGATGTTGTGGACTAGGGTACTATGACCAAGTGGTGCAGCCTAAGGTCCCAGGAGGAGGGAGGCACAGCAGCCAGGGGAACATAGGCAGTGGCAGACTGTGGACTTCTGGAAGGCAGGGCTGGAGGACAGAGTCCCACCCATATGACTGAGACCCATACTTCTAGCTCTCTATCTGTCCAGCTCTCCTGTCTCCCTGAAGCAGAAGGTTCAATCGCTGAAAGTCTAGTCACAAACCCCCAGGCTGTATCCTATTGTGAAGAGTAAGCTGTGGCCAGGGTTGGGGTCAGAGCCAGGACTGAAATATGGCCTCGTCACTGCCAGCAGCCACCCCACCCCTCTTGCCCCGCTTCCATGGCAGGGGCTGACGTGTGGATAAGGAAACAGTCCTGTAGGAGACACTGTCTTCTGGCAGGCAAACAAGGAAGTCCCAGGGCCTGGGCATTGGCAGGGCTCCCCAAGGCCACAGGGGTGACACTGGGGCTTTGCCTGCCAGGACGTTTTCACAGAGGTTGTAGGGCAGAAGCGGAAGAAGCCAGCACCCAGCCAAGGATCCAAGAAGCAGAGGGAGGAGGCCCGCCAGCGGGACCAGGAGTTCTATATCCCCTATCGGCCCAAGGATTTTGACAGTGAGCGTGGGTGAGTGATGGGCTGGCATCTGTCGGGGTAGGGCAGGAGAGTCTGTGCCCTATTAATTGGATCTCCCATTTTCCTTTGCAGGCTGAGCGTCGGTGGGGCTGGGGGGGCCTTTGAGCAGCAGGTGGCTGGTGCTGTCCTTGATCTGATGGGAGATGAAGCACAGAACCTGACCCGAGGCCGGCAGCAGTTCAAGTGGTAAGTGATGGAGAAGGCCCCTTCCCCATTGACTGGGTGCCAGGTGGTCCCCCTGCCACTAGACGTGACTCTTTCTGCCCCCTTTTGACTGCTGAGAACAGGAATGGTGACCCCTTTGCCTGCCCTGTCTGTCCAGTCTGCTACTTGTTTTGTTTTTACTTATTTATTTTCTTTTTTATTTTATGTGTATGAGTGTATTGCCTTCATGTACGTGGGTGCACCCGTGTTGTGCAATACCACGGAGGTCAGAAGAGGGCTTCGGATTCCCTTGGAACTGGAGTTAAGGACGGTTCGTAGCCGCCATGTGGGTACCGGGAATTGAACCCGGGTCCTCTTCAAGAGCAGTCAGTGCTCTTAACACTGAGCCATCTCTCCAGCCCCTAGTTTTTATTTTTATTCACATGTATGTATGTGTCTGTGTGTGAGTATGTGAATGTGAGTACAGGTGCCTGTGGGGGACAGAAGAGGACTTTAGATCCCCTAGAGCTGGAGTTTCAGGTGATTGTGAGCTGCTCAGTGAGAGTGCTGGGAACCCAACCTAGGTCCTCTGGGAGAATAGGAAGTGTTCTTAACCACTGACTCATCTTCTCCAGTCCCCTTGTCTACTGTTTTTGATGGTTGGCCATTCCAGGCAAGCCTCTAACTTGCTCTGCTCAGGAGGACTGTTAATGTGACTCCCCTTAACATACACAGGGCTGGGAAATGGAGTGGAATTGAACTCCCAGTGCTGGTGCCAGTCCCTAACCTCCAAACTCTTTTTGAGACCCGAACTTCCTAAGAAGGGTGGAAGGCTGGGGTGAGACATTACCGACTGGCTTGCGCAGGCCAGGTATGAATGTACTTTAATCCTCTACTGGCTGTATGCAAGGGGCAGGTGAGGAAACAGGCTCCCATGGGAGCTGATCATCCCAGGCTGCCTCTCCACAGTAGATCCCCACCTCCCTCTCCCTCTCCCTCTCCCTCAGGGACCGGAAGAAGAAACGGTTTGTGGGTCAGTCAGGCCAGGAGGACAAGAAGAAGATCAAGACAGAGAGTGGCCGCTATATTAGCAGCTCCTACAAGCGTGACCTGTATCTTGATGGGCAGGGCATGGAGGGGCAGGGCCAGGAGGCTTCCTCAGCTGCAGTTTCTATTGGTGGGACTGCACCTGGGGGTGTGACCTAAGTGGGAAGGGCCATGTAGCTTCCTCTGCAGTCACCCTTTATTAGGGGTCTGTATCTGTTGAGGTGGGCTGGGTCTACACCTCCATCTTGGACTGGCCAGGGTACTTCCTTAACAACGCTTCCTAGCTACCAAAAGTGGAAACAGAAACAGAAAATTGATGACCGAGACTCTGAGGAGGAAGGGACATCTAACCAGCGAGGCTTGGTACAACGAAGAAATGGGAAGAGAGGACATGGCCAAGGTAAGATTGGTGAGAGCTGGTGAGCCAGTGGTACCCGCGTGTGCTTGGAATAGGGAAAACGGGGTGGAGGACAGCCATACGGTCTCAGTGCTGGGTGGAATGGGCCCATGGGTGCTTTGTGGAACTCCCCACCCTGTTCCACAGTGGACTCGTCCTGGCTTCTCATGGCACAGCCTCACCCAGCAGGACATGGCCTCTGGCCCCTCCCACTGGGCAGGCAGAGCAATGGAGGTAGCTGGTGACAGGGTGAGTGAGTGGTCCACCTCTTGAATGAAGCCAGTGTGCACACACCTAGAGGTAGAAGATGATGCTTGACTACCTTCCACCTCAACACCAGGTGCTGCAATGGTCTAGCTGGGGACTGGGATGGGATCTCGTAGCCACACTGGGCTGTTGGCAGCTGCTGCTTAGGAAAGTGCCTCTGCAAAGATGGAGTCGTCAGTAGCTTTGGCTTATGGTTGAAGATCGCCCTTAAAATATGGGCTGACCGGGGTACCAGTGGTCAGTTGGAACTTGGCTTCTTTGACCTTTGAGCCACAATCAGCTTACAGTAGGATTAGAAGCCAGCTGTCTGCTACAGTCTGCTTAACAACCATGTTGACAGGGGGCAGACCCCCCTGTGTGTAAGGCCCCCTGTTGAGTCCTGAGTGCCAGAGTGGCTGCTGCTTGCCAGCCTGGCCCCTGCCTCCAAGCTCAGTGGGTCACAGGCTGAGTTTCCCAAATCCTTGTGCTGACAGGTGCATCCCAGCCCCGAGCGCCAGGCACCCCTACAGGTCACATGCGCTCTGAACTCAAGACCAAGGAGCAGATCCTGAAGCAGCGGCGCAGGGCTCAGAAGATGCGCTTCCTGCAGCGAGGGGGCCTCAAGCAGCTCTCAGCTCGTAATCGCCACCGTGCCCAGGAGCTACGACGGGGTGCCTTTGGCCGGGGTGCCCCCTCTAGGAAGGGCAAGATGAGGAAGCGGATGTAAGGAACAGGACTGGGGTCCCAGTCTTCCTGCCTGGCCCAGATATGGACTTGGGTGACCATCTTCCATGTACTATGGGGGTAACTCCCTGCAGATGCCTGTAGCCATGAATGGTGCTGTATGTTCACAGAAGGCAGCAGCTGCTTCTAACAGACATTCAGACAGGGTCTTGCAGGATGCATAGGAGTCTGCCGGCAAAGCCAGGTAGGCCAAGACCTGAGCTAGTAGCTCAGCTGCTACTGCTCAAATTCAGGGCCCAGGTTATAGCTATGTGGGCCCTAGGTCCCTTAGACCCAGTGTTGGGTTTTTATGTAATAAACTTAATGGAGCTCCTCTTCTAGACCAGGAATGAACTTTATTTGGGACACTGGAAGGGAGAGGCTCTCATAGGAAAATCCCAGCTGTGTGGTAGTCAGAGAGCAGGTGACCATGCCTATGGGTGCCACCTGGACCCGAGGTGGGCTTTGCATGTCTCTGTTGAGCAAGTGAGAAGAACAAGGCTCCAGTCAATTCCCTCTGGTGGCTCAGGACAGCTGCCAGGTGGTATGGGGCTTGAGAGACGCTGTCCCCCCTAGGGTTGAAGCAGGCTTGAGGACAGCCACCCTTCTAGGGTAGAGGTAGATTTGAGGGCAGCCTCCCCTTCTAAGGGCTCTGTTCAGGTCAGCATTGCCTTTCTTCCTGGAGGTGAGAACTGCCTGCCGCCACCCTGTGCCCATCCGGCTAGGGGCTTTCCCTACCTCCTGTGTGAGGTTTGAGAAAGTCAAGGGCATCTTCCAGCAGCTGGACCTCAGACAAGGCCAGGCACACAGTGGAGGCCACCATTGCTCAGGCTCAGCTCTACTGGACAAGTGCTCATCTGGATTTCCCTGAGCACTTGGCCTACCCTAAATCCTAGTATTACTTGGCCTTGGAGAATGGCCATCTGGGAGGGAGGCCTCTGTTGATCCCTGCTCATGGCCTGCACATTACTGAATGTCTGCTATGTGCCTGCTGAAAGCCTCACCATGGCACAGCTGGCACAGCTCCATCTTGCCCAAGAAAGCAAGTTCAAAGAGCCACTGAACCTGCACCCTGAGAAATGTAGGACCCAATCCCTCATCTCTTAGGTCCCCTCATGCTCACCTGGGGCCAGGCTAGGAAGTAGTGGCTGTGGGCTCTCCCTGGCCAAGGCTGGCCAGGGTGGCTGAGAGGTCCAGAATGAACTGCTTCACCTGGAGGCAACATGGCCAGATTATACCGTTTGATGTTGTGTTCCAACCCTAACATCTGGAGACTGAGGGTAGGGGCAGGGCTGGAAATACCCGCAAGGGAGACACTAGTGGTACCTAGTCTAGCCCAGCTTCCCAAATGGTTCCCCCCCCCCCTTTTTTTTTGGTCTTTTTGAGACAGGGTCTCCCTGTAGCCCCAGCTGGCCTGGAACTCACTGTGGAGACCAGGCTGGACTTGAACTCATAGAGATTCGCCTGCCTCTGCCTCCCAAGTGCTGGGACAGTAGGCCTGAGCCTCCAGGCCCGGCTCTGGTTCCCTTTTTTTGATTTTGGCTTTGTTTTTGAGATAAGGCCTCCCTGTAGCTCAGACTGGCCTCCAACTCATGGCAGCCCACTTGCTTCAGTCTCCCCAGTGCTGAGATTACAAGTGTGTCCCACCAGATGGTTCATCAGATATGATACAGTTTTGTGTCTGGCTCCCTGCCAAGTCAGTGCCCTACTCATATCAGGTAACCATTTCATTATAAACATCTACAGGCTCACTGCTATGAAGTATAATGGGCAGTAAGCTCTGAGTCCATGGCATCTGGACCCTCTTCATGTGTGGCCTGAGTCAGTATTGAGAAAGACACAGTCCTTCAAAGGAGGAAAGAACCTAATAGTCACCCCTTTTGTCTCAGCAGTGACAGACCAGGTGACAGTTCAGTGTTTTCTTACCAACCTGGTGGTGATTCCTGGCCTGGAAACAGGGAGTAGACAGGAGGGACCCAGCATTGTCCGCTGAGCCTCCCTCTACATGGGAGCAGAGGCAGATTGAGAGCAAAGCTAGGCATGGTGGCACACACCTGTAATCCCAGCATTTAGGCAGTAGAAGCAGGGGGATCAGAAGTTCAGGGTCATCTGCTACTTAGTGAGTTTGAGGACAACATGGGCAACCTGAAACAGACCTGATGTGGTTCACATGACTCCATGTCCCTCTGGAGTTACATAGATCCCATCTGGCATGTATGTAACAGTGGCCTCAATGAATTTAACAACCCCTAAGCGACACATGCAGACTGTATGTGTTAAGGTCCTGGCCACTGGGAGTGTTGGAAAGACTAGAGGGTGGGTTTTCCTCTGGCCCTCTAAGACACTGGATGGAGCTACATTTATTAGGACCATCCTTAATCCCACATAGAGTCCCAGCTGTGGGGTTTTCAGACACCCTCTTTCTCAGGAAGGGATGTGGGGTGGGGATGACAGTGAACCTCACCTGTTCCAGCTGCCCCTCTGTGTCCTCCACATCCAGGGCCGGCAGCTGACCCTGGCGCAGTCGCACTAGCTGGTATAGGTTGAGTGCTGACATGCGAGTTCGGCCCAGGAGCAGTGTCTTGGCTGCTGCAGTGTTCTGGATCTGGGTCCACCTGGATTCCTGCAGAACGGCCACCCAGTTAGTCACTGGGTTAGGGCAGGCCGCACACTATCCTGGTCTCCACTGCCAATGTGCCCCAGCCTCCTAGCAGTGTCCTGGATCTGGGTCCACTTGGATTCCTGCAGAATGGCTGCCCTGTTCATTATTGAGTCAGGGCTTGGCAGTGGGTGTCTGTCTGTTTTCCATCTGGCAGGGTGGGGCCTGTGCACTATCCTGGTGCCAGTGTGCCCCAGCCTCCTCAATCAGTGCAGCTCATGTGTTCAAGGGTCCTTGTAGCCCAGGGGCGCACCCACTGCTGCCTGCACTCCTGGGCTGCCTCCAGCTGTTCCTGCAGCTCTGCCCGCCTCTGGCCCAGCCGGAGCAGCTCTTCCTGCCCTGAGTCCCGCAGCCACTGCAGCCTTGCCCGTGTGGCCTCCAGCTCTGCCTGCCGTTCTCGTTCCACCAGTTCCAGCACAGCCTGGGTGTCCACCAGGCCGTCGAAGCGTGCCACCAGCTCGGGGACCTCCTGAAACTGGGGTGGGGATTCACATGGCCCTCAGTTCCCTGCCCTCCCCACCTGGCTCACCAATGTGTCTCTGTCCAGACGTGATGGGACACTGCAGCCCAGGAGTAGGGACAGCAGAAACCACAAGTCAGGGACTTGAGCCCTATTCAGGCCTTTCTCACCTCCACGACCAAGATAGCTAAGCCTTTCAACCTGCCATTCATTCACTCATTCATTCATTTGTGCATTCAACTAGTATTTGCTGAACTTTGTGGCTCAGCCTGTAATGTCAGCACTTGGGAAACCAAGACAGGAGAATCACCACAAGTTCAAGGCCTGACTTGGTTATGTACTGAGTGCCAGGCTAGCATAGTCTACAGAGTAAGACTGTCCCAAAAAGCTGAAATAATAGAGTCGGGCATGATGGTGCACACCCTAATCCCAGCACTCAGGGGGGGAAGGCTGAGGTAGGAGATTAGGAGTTGAAGGTCAGCCTCAGCTATAGGGAATTCAAGACCAGCCTGAGATACTTGACAACCTGTTGCAAAAAGCCAACCAGAGAGATGGCTCAGCAGTTAGGAACACTGGCTATTCTTGTGAAAGACCCGGGTTCGAGTCCCAGCACCCACATAGCAGCTAACAACTGTCCTTAACTCCAGTTCCAGTGGATCCAACAGCCTCTTCTGTCCAAGTCGGGCATTGCACTACACGGGTGCACTACATGCAGGCAATACACACATACACATAAAAATAATAAAGCCAACCAAAGACAAACCATCCCAAACCAAAACCTTCCACGAATAATAAAATTTATATTGTCTGTATTCTCTCTCCTCTCCTCTCTTCCCCCCTCCTCCTCTCCTTTCCTCTCACTCCCTACCTAACTACATGACCTTGAACGACAAGCTTTCTGAATCTGTTTCCTCCTCTGTAAAATGGAGTTGACGATAACCGAGCCAACTTCACTGGATTTTGGGGACTATTTGAGGGCAAAGGTGCATCCCGGATATACACCGAGCACTCTGTAAGCGCTGGCTCTTGCACACAGTCTGCGCTCCCCTATCGCGCCGGCAGCACTGCTCACCTCGGGCAGCAGCTCCAGCACACGCTCCAGCAGGCGCGCACAGGGCTCCAGGCGCCGCAGCCTACGCTGCTTTCGCGCGCGCTCCCGCTGCAGCGCCTCCAGCTGTGTGCGCAGCCGCAGCGCCTCTGCCTCCCGACGGTGCGCACGCTGCTGCTCCTCCGCCGCTCTCTGCAGCGCGCGGCCGCGCCGGGCCTCAGCATCCTGGGGTGGAAGATGGTGACCACTCCCGCACTTGGGGAGTCGCCGCCTCCAACGAGTCCCAACATTCGCAGGCTAAGCCACGCGCAAACTCTCGGCTCTGGGTCAAGTTCATCTTGAAGTCGAGTGTTTTGGATGAGGGATTTTATGCCTTCTCTCCTCCCCCCACCTCTGAACTTTCCACCACTTTCAGAATCGACCCGGGGTGGGTGTTCTTTGAAGGGGCGCGTAGGAAGGCCCGCCTCTCTCTACAGCCCCACTGACCTGCAGGAATTTGTCAAAGCGGACGAAGGACCCCCTTAGCTCCTCCTCTTTCTGCTCCAGCTGTGCCCAGCGCTGGTTCAGGGCGGCCATCTTGGTGTGGAATTCCTTGTGGGGAAGAGTTGGAGGCCTGTGCTTGGGGGGCGAGGGGGGGCGGGGGTTTCTGGACCTCTAACACCTCCAGCTCCGGCTCCCCAGCTCATGCCCTCCCCATGGTTCTGATCACCCCACAAATGAGGAAATCAGGGCCCAGGCTAGTAGTGAGAAGATTTGCTTCAGACAATGTAATCCTCATAGCCCACCACCAGTGTGTATCTAGGGACCTCAGAATCCCAGCAACAGAGGCTTACATCCTTCTGGGCCTGCAAACCCTGGTCAGCAGCCAGCAGCTCTTGCCGCTTCTCCAGGAGTTGCAGCAGGGGTGGGAAGTGGTCCACAGTTTGTTCTAGTGGCTTCCTGGAGGGGCTCAAAGAGGAGGCAGTGAAGGGAGCAAAAGTCAGGGCCCCAAGCATCCTGGAAGTGCTTGGAATGGCCACATTCCCCTCTTACTGGCTTTTGGGTTGTTTTTATTTTAAACAGGGTCTCAGGGAGCCCAGGCTGGCCTCAAACTCACTGTGTAACCAAGGATGGCCCTGCATTCTTGATCCTCTTGGCTTCACCTCCTCAGTGCTAGAATGGCAAGTGGGAACCTGTGCTGGATAGCTTTAGTGTCAACTTGACACCTGGGTTGAGGGAGCCTCAATTGGGGAATTGCTTTTATTGGTCTGGCCTGTGGCCATGTCTGAGGGGCATCTTCTTGATGAGTGATGTGGGAGGGCCCAGCCCACTGTGGGTGGTGCCACCCCTGGGCTGGTGGGCCTATGGTAGTTTAAGAAAGCAGGCTGAGCAGGGGCCAGGGGAGCAAGCCAGTAAGCAGGTTCCTCCATGGCCTGTGCTCCAGCTCCTGCTTCGAGGTTCCTGCCCTGAGTTCCTATCTTGGGCTCCCTGATGAACTGCAACCTGGGAGATGTAAGCTGAATAAACCCTTTCCTCCTCAAGTTGGTATTGCTCAGAGTATTTTGTCACAGCAGTGAAGAACAGACTAGGACAGAACCCAACAACCTACTGGCTATTGAATTCTTACGTCATTCAACCAGTTTTGCTGAGCTCCTGCTGTGGGTCAGGCACCATCCTAGTCACGGTGGTTGCATCTGGGAAGTCAGATAGAAAGCCCTGGCATTCTGAGGACCATACAGAGTGAAGCTAATCAGTACAGTAAGCAGTGCTTGATGTGATGGGGCCTGAAATGTAAAACTCAGTGCACTAGAGGAAGCTTTCATATGAAGCTAAGAAGTCTCTCTGAGGAGAGGACACTGGGACAGGGCCCCAGGGGAAAGGTTGAGGAAGCAAGCCCCAGTGGCATCTGCAGAGAACGGGAAAGAAAGAGCCTCCCTAGGAAAGGTCCTGGGCATATTGAAGGAACTTCGGAGGCCAGTGTAACTGGACAGGAGACATGAGATGGGAGCCATGGGAGACTTTTGAGCAGAGGAGAAATCCTTGTAGCTGCTGTGAGAAGCAAGGGCAACGTGGGCATTCAGTGGTGGGGCTGCAGGGTGCTCAGGAGAGAATGTGGGTCTGGTGAGGAAAGGTGTGGTGGGAAGTGGGGACGGGTCTTTTCTTGGTACAGCTCGATGACAGGGCTGGGGTGCGGGGTGAGAGAAAAAAGTGACCTCAGCAGCCTGAAGGTCATGGCTTTGAGGGCTGACTGTGGGATGAACTGGTGGGGTGGTGGAGACCAGCTCCCTGCTCTGGCCAAGCTGAGGCAGAGGCACCTGGTAGGCCTCCTCTGTGCAGAGCAATTCAGGAGAGGCTGGGGTCTGGGGACCCGCTGTCCAGGAAGATGGGAATAGAACAGGCTGTCATCATTTGGCAAAGCTTGCTCAGCTCTGGACCAGATGGTCAAAATCCTCAGTCCCATCCAGTAGATGCTACAACCCAGTTGGGACTGGGGAATCCCACTTCCCTAGGCAATGCATTACATTAAAATGCAGCTTCTCTGCAAGAAAGCATTTCATAGAATTCCTTTCTACCCTGGGTCAAATGATTTAACCTCTGTGAGATACCAGCCAGGGCTGGGACAGGAGCAGGTTGGCCATCCTGGCTAATAGGAGCCCTGAGCAATTGGCCAGCTCTAACTCACTGAGACCCTGGGGAAACCTTGCAGAAGTCACAGATCCTGAGAGCCTTTGAACTTCCACAAGACTGCCCAGGGAACAGAAGGGCTGAGCTCCTACTCACCCTCCTTCCCACCCTCCTGCCTCTCCCTGAGTCACTCACGTAGGCAGTTTCTCCCGGAAAGTCAGTTGGAAATACTCCTCCCAGCCCACTGCCATTCTACAGGTGCCTCAGACCCCCTTGGCACAAGCTAAGGGTCCTGGGTCTCAATGGCGATTGCTGCTCCTGCCTGGAGCTTCCAGAAGTCAGTGGCCAAGCTGGGCCCTGGTTGCCTGGGCAACCAACAACACAACATTCCACTGCCAGATTGCAACAGGAATCCACCACTGACAGAGGGATGATGGCAGTTGGGAAAGGAGAAAATGCTGCCCCCCACTGCCCCCAAATTTAGGTACAGTGGACAGGATACAGGTCCTGAGCCCATGTCTGACCAAACCTCCTCCTGCCTGGGTGGGGTTGGGCTCCATTAATGTCAGTATGCTCCATCAATCATGCCAAAGAATAATGATTAGAGCTGGCCTAGGGCTCAGTGCTAGAGTGCTTGCCTAGTATATGCAAGGCCCTGGGTTCCATCCTCAGCACTACCTCTCAAAAAGTAATTATTGGGGGCCACCCATGTGTTGGTATACATCTTTAATCACAGAACTTGGGAGGAAGAGGCAGGCAGATCTCTGTGAGTTCCAGGCCAGCTGGGGCTACATAGTGAGACCCTCTTTGAACAAACAAACTAAAGACAACAAAAGAATAATTATTGGACATCCACTGTTTGCCAGGCACAGCCAGTCTCTGCCCCTGTAAAGGGGTTGCCCTGACTGTGTCTCATGGAGCCCTGGGCTGGTTTGGGAAAGAGGACCATAATACTACAGGAGAGGCCCTTGGGAAGGGACCGGAGGTCTGCACTTGAAAGGAGGAAAAGGGAGAGGCTGCAAAGTTTGGGGGGTTCCTCTGGGTCAGACAAGATGCCAGACTCTTATGTATAGTATCTCATTTAATCCAAGACAGCACTTTGGGTGTGCTAGGGCAAATTTTCCACACAGTATATAAAATACCCATGGTGTCTCCCAATGGAAGCAGTAAGCAATAAAATCTGGTCACCTTGCTTGAGACTTAGAATTCCTCCCTCCCTCCTTTCCTCCTTCCTTTCCTCCCTTCTTCCTTTTTGGGACAAGGTTTCACTTTATGGTTTGTTAGTTTTTTTTTTAAATCTTTTTGAGACAGAGTCTCCCTGTAGCCCCAGCTGGCCTAGAACTCGATATGTAGATCAGATTGGCCTTGATCTCATAGAGATCTGCCTGGGGTTGCCTCCCAAGTGCTGGGATTAAAGGTGTGTGCCACCATGCCCAGCAATTTGTGATTTTTTTAAATTTTATTTTTATTATTTTTTAACTATATCTGTATCTGTGTGTGGATATGTACATGTCAGTGCAAGTGCCCACAGAGGCCAGAGGCACTGGATATTGGATCCCTCTGGAGCTGGAGTAACAGACAGTGGCGATCCACCCAACTTGGGTAGTGGGAACCAAGTTCAGGTCCTCTGGAAGAGCAGGATGTACTCTTAAGTGCTGAGACATCTCTCTAGCCCAGATTTTTTATTTATTTATTTTTTTGGTCTTTTTGAGACAGGGTCTCCCTGTAGCCCCAGCTGTCCTGGAACTCACTGTGGAGACCAGGCGGGCCTTGAACTCACAGAGATCCGCTTGCCTCTGCCTCCCGAGTGCTGGGATTAAAGGCATGCGCCACCACGCCCCTTTGATTTTTTAAAAATAGTCTCCTTCTGTACCAGGCTGGCCTTGAACTATGTAGCCAAAGCTGGTCTCTAACTTATGGTAATTCTCCTGCCTTAGTTTTCTGTAATTTTTCCTTTTAAGGGAACATTTAAAAAATATTTTATTTATTATTCTTATTTTATGTGTATGAGTGTATGTGAGTGCACCTGTGTCGTGCAGTGCCTCCAAGGTCAGAAGAGGGCTTCGGAGTCCCCTGGAACTGGAGTTAAGGTCAGTTTGTAGCTGCCATGTGGGTGCTGGGAATCGAACCCAGGTCCTCTGCAAGAGCAGTCAGTGCTCTTAACTGCTGAGCCATCTCTCCAGTCCCTAAAAGAACATATTTTTTTTGCATCCCTGGCTGAGTAGGAACTTGCTATGTTAGACCAGGCTAGCAGACTTGTAGAGATCTTCCTAACTCTGTCTCCCAATGATGGGTTTATAGATTTGTGCTACCACGCTGGACTGACTTCCTTCCTTTATTTATTTATTTTTTGGTCCTTTTGAGACAGGGTCTCCCTGTAGCCCCAGATGGAACTCACTATGTAGACCAGGCTGGCCTTGAACTCACAGAGATCCACCTGCCTCTGCCTTGAGAGTGCTGGGACTAAAGGCATGTGCCATCATGCCACTGTTTTCCTTCCTTCCTTTCTTTCTTTCTTCCTTCCTTCCTTCCTTCCTTCCTTCCTTCCTTCCTTCCTTCCTTCCATTTATTTTGCTTACTATGTGGACCAGGTTGGCCTCAAATTCACAATCCTTCTGCCTCAGACTCCCCAGCATTGTGACTCCAGGTGTGCACAAACCTATACTTATCTTTTTAAATTTTTATTTTTATTTAAAAAATATTTTATTAATTCTATTTATTTTAAAAATTTTATTCATTATTTTTATTTTATGTGTATGCATGTATTGCCTGCATGTAGGTAAGTGCCCCTGTGTTGTACAATGCCCACAGAGGTCAGAAGAGGCTGTTGGATCCCCTGGGACTGGAGTTATGGACAGTTGTTAGCTGACATGTGGGAGCTGGGATTCAAACCTGGGTCTTCTGCGAGAACAATCAGTGTTCTTAACTGCTGAGCCATCTCTCTGGCCCCCTATTATTTTTATTTTATGTGTATGAGTGTATTGCCT